ACATACCTCACCCTGCAGAGCCAAGTGCTATGTCCCTGTTCATCAAATTCATATTCTAATTCTTCTCCTGTGGGAGAAAGACGGACAAAACAATTTTAATAGAATCCAAAAATTACTAGTTGATACAATGAGAAATGAGAACAAATGTTAAATAAGAACAAGTTCCTATCCTAACACTTTGGGAGGCTGAGGCAGGATGACAGCTTGAGTTTAGGAGAGCGAGACCAGTCTGTGCAACATGGCAAACCCCCATCTCTACAAAAAAATACAAAAATTAGCCAGGCATAATGGTACATGCCTTTTGTCCCAGTTACTATGGGTGCTAAGGCCGGAGGATAGCTTAAACCCAGGAGGTTAAGATTGCAGTGAGCCAAGATTGCACCATTGCACTCCAGCCTGGGCGACAGAGTGAGACCCTGTCAAAAAAAGAACAAGTTCCCATATTACACTCAGTAAATTTCAATGCATTTCACTTCTCATTCCTAGGGATTATCATCTGATAATAAAATTAGAGTAAGTCTGAGGCAGAGAAAAAAGCAAACTCAAAGTAATCAATTCTCCGTACATAGCTTTGTTCACTGTATAGTACCTTTCACTTTTCTAAGTTGTAGACTTAAGCGGTTATTTTAACACAGTTGCCTGGTTTTTAGAACCACAGATATTAAGTGTACAGCTGTTTCATATATTATTTATATATACATATAAAATATATACACATATACACACATATACATAGATATTCTCTCAAAGTATTTCTACCAAAACAATCCTCTATGGAAAAAAATTTTAAATCATATAATATAAAGTCAAAACCCATGTTAAGAATTACAAAAGATCAGGTGAATTTGGAATTAAAAAATTACAGGAAGTTGGCTCAATTTCCCCACCACCAAAGTCCAGGATCTTTTGAGAAGAATGAGATGAGTCAGGAAAAAGTACTTCTTTTTTTTAAGATAAGAAGAAAGACTAACAAGATTTTTATGATTTTTTTCCCTCTGCTATACTAATGAGGAATAATTTTCAAAATAAACCTAAAGTAACTGACCACAAGAGTAAAAAGTGAACAAGAAGGACGGCAATAAAATTACAGCATATCTTAGTATAAAGCTCAACCTGAAGCTCTAGAAAACCATACTGCTCTGGATACATTTTAGTGGTAGGGTCAGAATCTGTTTACATACCTTCTCGGTCAAAAAAGCCTTGGAGGGCCTTTTTGGGATCCTTTATATAAAAGGCCTCCCTTTCCTGCTGAAACTCTAAGACAATAGGGTTCTCTTCAGCATCATCCTCTACTGCATCTTCTCCTACAGGATATGGGAAAGAAAGAAAAGACAATCAGACATGAGAAGAGACTATTTGAATGATACCCACTATTCTTTCAGGCTGCATAAAGACATAGTTTAGGCTGGGCACGGTGGCTCACACCTGTAATCCCAGCAACTTGGGAGGCCAAGGCAGGTGGATCACAAGGTCAGGAGTTCGAGACCAGCTTGGCCAACATGGTGAAATCCCATCTCTACTAAAAATACAAAAAATTAGGCCGGGTGTGGTGGCTCATGCCTGTAATCCCAGCACTTTGGGAGGCCAAGGCGGGCGGATCATGAGGTCAGGAGATCGAGACCATCCTGGCTAACACGGTGAAACCCCATCTCCACCAAAAATACAAAAATTCTCCAGGCATGGTGGCGGGTGCCTGTAGTCCCAGTTACTCCGGAGGCTGAAGCAGGAGAATGACGTGAGCCCAGGAGGCAGAGTTTGCAGTAAGCCGAGATGGCACCACTGCACTCCAGCCTGGGCAACACAGCGAGACTCCGTCTCAAAAAAAAAATACAAAAAATTAGCTGGGCATAGTGGTGGGTGCCTGTAATCCCACCTACTCGGGAGGCTGAGGCAGGAGAACTGCTTGAACCTGGGAGGAAGAGGTTGTAGTGAACCAAGATTGCGCTACTGCACTCCAGCCCCAGCCCGGGCGACAGAGTGAGACTCTGTCTCCAAAAAAAAAAAAAAAGATGTAGTTTATCTGTGATGAAAAATAATACATACTTGCAGGGACAACGGGTGGAACAAACGCAACCCACCAGTATGAGCATATTCAGGTTTTCTAAATTGTGTGACAAATCAAAACTTGTTTTCATGGCACCTTAATTTTTTTTTCTCCATTATTATATTTTAAAAGTAAAATTACCTACCACATTGTGGAAAAAAATTTGAGCTCCTCAGTCTGGCATTCTTGTTCTCTCACACTCATATCTAACTTTCATTTCCAATATAATTTCCTAATACTTCTTATATCTGCCAAATAGACTGGTCTACTCACAACTTCCTTAAAATCATCAATCCCTACCCTGAATACCAATCCCAATACTCAGCTTCATAAGGCTTTTCCTTTCCTTCAAGTTCCAGCTCAAAAATCCTTATGCTTATACAGTTTCCCTGCTGGGTGCAGTGGTTCATGCCTGTAATCCCAACACTTTGGAAGGCCAAGCGGGGGAGAGGAGGGTGGATCACAAGGTCAGGAGTTCAAGACCAGCCTGGCCAATATGGCGAAACCCCGTCTTTACTAAAATAAAAAAAATAAAGTTTCCCAAAGATCTAAGTCAATGCTGTCCAACGGAAATATAATGAAAGCTGTATGTATAATCTTAAATTTTCTATTAGCCACATTACAAAATAAAAGAAACAGATAAAATTGTCATTTCAGCATGACATCAGTATAAAAATATCATGAAAGAGATATTCTACATTCTTTTTTTCAGACTAAGTCTTTGAAATTCAGTGTGTATTTTGCATTTACAGCACACGTCAATTGGGACTAGCCACACTGCAAGTGCTCAGTAACCACATGTGGCTAGTGGCTACCGTATTAGACAACACAGGTCTAAGTCCCCAGTGATTGTTCTCTCTTCTCCAAACTTTCACTCTAACTTACTTACGGTTCTAGCTTTTGTTTGGCACTTAGCACAAGTAATTTTGTAACTTCTCCTGTCTTCCCAACTATATATTAAGGCCATCTTCTACCTTTTTATACTCCCATCTCCTGAATATCCATTTTCTAAAATATCTGGTGTTAAAGAAAGTTTATTATTTTGGCTAAGGGACCAGCTTTCTCTGATTAGATATTCCACATTTCAGGATATTTTCACAAAGTACAAAAAATTCAAGAGAATATCCTATATTGAATAACATCCCATTTATTTGATTGAATAGAGTTCCACCCCCTCCAATGATAATCACATAGCACAAGGTCAGTACTTAATAAATATAAAATTTTAGAATTGTAAAAATAATAATTTTATGCCTAGGACAAGTTTTGAACAATAGAGTGCATTAAAAACAATTTTTTAAAAAATCCAAAGTGCCTATAAGTCAATTTCTTTACATCAGTAAAGTTAATGAATCACTCCAGGTTTTGGTTACCTCATGTGACCCATGAAAAGCTGTATGATTTAGAAAAACATTTAAGGGTACCACTAGTAATGAACGTAAAATATTAACCTCCGGCAGCAATTTTAATTTCTTACCCATTCCCCAGGTGCAACCCATCTCATCATCTTGGCTACCAGCATTTATCTTCCTTTCAGAGGTATCCATTTCCTCTTCTTCATCTGAGTCTTCTCCCAGCATCTTCTTCTCCAACAATTTTTGTTGCTGCTTGCGCAATTCCTTCAACTGTGTTACTGTTAACTCGGATTCTGCCTCTCGGTCTTCCTCTGGTCCCTGATGAACCAAGGAAAAAAAGGTTATTTATTTATTTAGAGACAGGGTCTTGCTCTGTCGCCTAGGCTGCACTGGAGTGCAGTGGCTGGAATACGCCTCACTGCAGCCTTGACCTCCTGGCTCAGGTGATCCTCCCATCTCAGCCTCCCGAGTAGCTGGGACCATGATGCCTGGCTAATTAATTTTTTTTTTTTTTTTTTAGAGACAGGGTCTTGCCATGTTGCCCAGCCTCCTCTCAAACTCCTGGGCTAAAGCGATCCTCCCGCCTGGGCCTCCCAAAGTGTTGGGATTACAGGCGCGTGCCACCGCACCTGGCCAAAAATCAAACAAACAAACAAAAAAAACTATTTTAGAGTTCGGGATTGTGAACATGACTTTCAGAAATACGGCAATGTGTACAGCACTCTGGAGATGATAGGCCAGACTTGATTCCTTCACTTTTGTAATCGCTGAATGGGAGATTCTTCTTCCTCATCAAAAGCTTAAGAAGCACAAGAACGCAGCCCAATGAGCCCGAGATTTCAATTCTAGGTTTTTCTACCTACCTGCAGGATAAAGAGCCGGGTGCTGCCTCCGAAGCGAACAACATGTCCAACGTGGACTCGACAGTAGGTGCGAGGTGGGATGCGAGTTTTGTTGAGAAAAGTGCCATGGGTGCTTCCCAGATCGTAGAGGTAGAAGCCCGGCCCGTTGCTGTCGCATTCTCCGTCAGGGCCAGACGCCCTGTGCTGCAGTACTGCGTGGTACCGAGACACCGAAGGGTGCTCCAGGCACACGTCGCAGCCAGACAGCCTCCCGAAAAGGCAGTAACTCGTCCCTTTCAAGCTACGGGTGCCAAGGATAGCGCCGCCCTTCAGGGTCTCTAAGCTGTAGGGGGCTGTGGCAGGGCCACCCCATGGAGGCTCCTGGTAGGGGGGAGCCCGGGCTGGACCGCCAGAGGAAGAAACCGCTGTCGGGGGGCGCGACTGCTCCTCCTGTAGACTCCTAAAATCCCCGCAGTCCGGCTGAGGAGGAGGGACGTCGGGCTCCCCAGAACTGGGGTCCTGCAACGCAGTGGGCCCTTCCTTCTGCACCTCCTCAGGGTTTGAAGAACTGGTGGCCGGGGCCTTACTCCGCGCCGCTGCGGGCACCGGCAGAGCTGGCTTCTTGAAGTCCCCACTGAGCTCTTGCGATGCCAGCGGCTCTGACTGAGAGAGAATGTCAGCCATCCTCAATCAGTGCAACCTCGAAATCCGCTCCTTCGAAACCTCACCCTTCGGTCTTTACGTTCCTGTACACGTCCCACTCTCCCAAGCTCCCAGTGGCGTCTGCAGGCGGCGGTGGTGAAGTTGCTCATTCACGACCTGGAGAGTTGCAAATTGGTGCTAACACGAGAAGGTCATAATACGAGAAAAAACGGTTATCGGGATGCTGTGCAGAACGGGGACATCTTTAGAGGTTACAATGAGATCGTAATGACTTCCTGTTGCATAGCTTGAGTGAGAAGAAGCGCTTCCGGCGGTCTTAGCTCACTAATCAACAAACCAGTTTTTGGGGCTTGACGCGACCCTTGCCTCAGGCCTCTCGGGGTCCAGACAGCCGCCCAGCCCGCTCTGTGAGGCAGCAGTGAGTAGTGTGGTACCTCCTTGTCTCGGTTCAGGTCCAGACCTCCCCTTTTTCCGGCTGCTCTGGACAGCAGGCGACCTCAGGACCCTCTGATTGGCGCCTGCGCCGGCGGACCGTGACCGAGAAAACCCCTGGAGGGACTTGGGCATTCCTTGGGCTCAGTGCCTGTTCTTCCTGCTCCTTTCGGTAAAGTAAGGGAAGAGGGTGACTTTTTTTTTTTATTTCGTTCATTCATTTATTTTTTTCTGAAATTAATTATTAAGGCAGAATAGTTTAGTGGTTAAGAGTGCAGACTCTGGAGACTCGATTTTTGACCTCGCCATTTGTGACATTGGGCAAGACACTAGGCCTCAGCCCTCTGAAAAATGAGGATAAGATTATTAGCTTCATAGGGTTGTTGGAAGAATTGAATTAAACAATAAATGTCAGCCGGAACGGTGGCTCATGCCTGTAATCCCAACATTTCGGGAGGCTGAGGCGGGAGGGTTGCTTGAGCCCAGGAGTTCCAGAGGAGGCTGGGCAACATGGCGAGACCCTGTCTCGCCAAAAAAAAAAAAAAAAAAAAAAAAAAAAAAAGAGACTGGCGCACGGCTGTAGTCCCAGCTACTCGAGAGGCTGAGATGGGAGAATTTCTTGGGCCCAGGAGGTTGAGGCTGCAGTGAACTATGATTGTACCACTGCACTCCAGCCTGGGCTACAGAGTGAGACCCTGTCTCAAAAAAGAAACAAACAAAAAAGGTGAAGTCTGGTATATAGTAAACATTCAACAAATGCCAGATAGATATTTCTCTGTGCCTGGCCCTGTAACAAGACCATGGCCATAAGAAATAGATGGGAGGAAAAAATCTATTGTGATAAGTACTAATTAAAATCCAAAGATAAATGCTGTGACGTAGACATGCAAAGCACTGTGAGAATAGAGAAAGGGAGATGCACTGGGGAAGTGACGGAGGGTGGGGACTTATGCTGTATGTACTTAAAAATGAATATGAGTCTGCCAGGGATGTGCAGGGTTGGCAGAGCATTTCTGGCAGAGTTCACAGCTGGAAGTGTCAACTGTGGAAATGGACAGCATTCTCAAGAAACTAAGTAGTATAACGTTGTTAGAACAAAGGTAGTCATTTCACCCAGGGAGTTCCTCCTTTGTGCTTCCACTACCCCAGGTCCATATACCTCTAGAACAGTACTTACCACGTACTTTCATATTGAAATATTCTGCTTCTGTTTCTCTTCCTCACCTCAGGGCAAGGATCTCACATTATCAGTCTTTGACCCGCCCAGAATGCCAGGCATTTGATAAATGTTTGTTGAACTTGAAGAGACATACGGACAATGAATCTGCAAAGGTGAGTTGAAACCAGATTGTGAATTTTGTTGAATCATAAGCCAAGGAATTCTGACTTTTTCCAGTAGGCAATGGGAAGCCATTAGATTTAAGTTTTAAAAAGAGTAAGTCTAGCAGCAGTGTAGAGAATAGATTACATACAAAGAGAGATTGGAGGAAGGGATACCAATTAGGAGGCAGCAGAAATCTCTCACATTCCTCACATTCTATATTGCAAAAGTTGAAAGCATAATGCCATTTATATTAGTGGTTCATAAATTTTTCCAGCAGGACCATGCCTAAGATACACATAATAAGAACCACTTCTTACTATCTTTAACACTACTTGCTTTTCTCCTATTGATCCAGCACAGATGTATCAAGATACTTTATCAGGCCTTGCTTATTGTTCAGGATTGAGCATGATGGTAGTTCTGGTAATGAGTTAGTGAGTGAGATGGAAATAGGGATACTAGAGCTCCAGATGCTGTTGTAGCTATTGGTCTACTAATGACCCAAATTCTACCCTGTGGTTCAGTGTAGTAGGAATTGTCATAGTATGACAATAACCAGCATCTAACAGTTACATTTCTCTTGTTTAGGGAGAACATCTTTGGTCCTACAGTTTTGCTGACACTGACATTTTTCTAAGTGGTCACAAATAGCCTGCTGTTTACATAAATAACTGACTGGCTAGACCTCGTATTTTTCACTACAGAAGCCTATAATCTAAAGTTGCCAGGATTTAAACACATTACTTTTAGGTTATCATCTACATTTATCCTGAGACCTCTTCTCTTCTTATTCCAAAATGTTGAGATACTGGGGAGAGATACCAATATCATCAAGCCAGACCAACAGAAGTTCCTTTGATTTGCTCCCACGGGAGTTCCGTCTGGTGGAAGTCCATGACCCACCCCTGCACCAACCCTCAGCCAACAAGCCGAAGCCCCCCACTATGCTGGACATCCCCTCAGAGCCATGTAGTCTCACCATCCATACGATTCAGTTGATTCAGCACAACCGACGACTTCGCAACCTTATTGCCACAGCGCAGGCCCAGAATCAGCAGCAGACAGAAGGTGTAAAAACTGAAGAGAGTGAACCTCTTCCCTCGTGCCCTGGGTCACCTCCTCTCCCTGATGACCTCCTGCCTTTAGATTGTAAAAATCCCAATGCACCATTCCAGATCCGGCACAGTGACCCAGAGAGTGACTTTTATCGGTAAGGCAAGGCTTTGCTGTATCTTACTTTTCTCAAGTCATCTTCCCAACAACCCTGTTAAGCTTGTAATAGCATTTCCATTTCCACGCGAGGAAAATGAGGATAAGAGTAATTGACTTGGCCAAGGTTTCTCAGGTAATTAGTGAGATGTCTAAGTTTTGAATGCCAGTCTTCAGAATTCAGGGTCTGTATTTTTTAATTTTTTGAGTGCTTACTATGTGCCAAGCACTTTACTAGGAGCAAGGTAATACACTGGTATGTAAAAAAGGCCATGGCCTCATAGTTCTTAGGATCTAGTCTTTCTCTTTAATATAAAAAATGTATTATGGGTTTAACTCGGTGTCTTCAAATTGGGATTCATGGACTTATTCTGGTATTTTTAGGAATCCACAAGTCTATACAAAAATCTTTAAATTGTGTGTTTTCATTTTGATAACATAGTTTAAGAAATAATAATATAAGCTGAGCACAGTGGCTCAAGCCTGTAATCCCAACACTTTAGGAAGCCAAGGTGGGTGGATCACTTGAGGCAAGGAGTTCAAAATCAGCCTGGCCAACATGGGGAAACCCCATCTCTACTAAAAATACAAAAATTAATCAGGTGTAGTGGCTGAGGCACGAGAATCACTTGAACCCAGGGGAGGCAGAGATTGCAGATCGCTCCACTGCACTCCAGTCTGGGTGACTGAGACCCTGTCGGAAAAAAAAAAAAAAAGAATAATATAAAAATATTATTGATCCCTACTACTCAATATCTGATCCAAGATCTGCAGCATCAACATCACCTGGGAGGTTTTTAGAAATGCAGAATCTCAGGCCTCATCCAGTCCTGCTGAATCAGAATCTGCATTTTAACAAGATCTCCAGGAGATTTGTATGTGCATTTAAGTTTGAGAAGCCCTGCTCCACATCCTCCGAAGGGGACTGCCTTATAACCTAGAGCTGCTACTAGATGTCAGTGTGCAAGTTATATTTCATGCCAAACAATTACTTTTTTTCTTTTCATTTTGAAATTTGCCAGACCTACAGAAATGTGTAAGTTGTAGTCAACAAACATCCAAATACCCTTCACCATGATTCACCAATGTTTAACATTTTGCCACATTTACTTTCTCACATGTGTGTGTATACACATATATACACACATACACATACATATATGCATACTTGTATATGCACACATTTTCCCCCAAACATTTTAAAGGAAGTTGCAGACATCGCCATATTTCACCCCTAAATTCCTCAGCATGCATATCCTAAGAATAAGGAAATTTTCCTGAATAATCATAATACCATCAACACACCAAAGTAAATGAACATTAAATACTACTTAATAAGTTCATATTCACATTCTTCCAATTATCTTTTGTAAATGTCTTCCCCCGCCCCGAGTCCAGGACCTAACAAAGATTCATGCGTTGTATCTGGTTGTTATGCCTCTTTAGAGTCTTATGAGTTCAGGTCACTTGTAGAATGTCACAATTACTGGATTTGCTGATTATCTCCTCAAGATTAGATTCAGATTAAATATGTTTGGCAAGAATACTACAGAAGTGATATTATATGTTATTTATTACATCTACCTGTTGCCAATAATACTATTTTTTTTTTTTTTTTGAGACGAAGTCTTGCTCTGTCACCCAGGCTGGAGTGTAGTGGCCGGATCTCAGCTCACTGCAAGCTCCTCCTCTCAGGTTCACACCATTCTCCTGCCTCAGCCTCCCGAGTAGCTGGGACTACAGGCACCCACCACTTCGCTCGGCTAGTTTTTTGTATTTTTTAGTAGAGACGGGGTTTCACCCTGTTAGACAGGATGGTCTCGATCTCCTGACCTCGTGATCCGCCCGTCTCGGCCTCCCAAAGTGCTGGGATTACAGGCTTGAGCCACCGCGCCCGGTCACTAATAATACTATTTTAATGGTTCCCAAACTAACGAGAAAAGTACAGAAATAGACTAAATACATAAGAGTTGCATTGCAGTTGGGCCAGGTGAAGGCCAGATTATATCAAGGTCCACTGTAATAAAAAGTTCTGAAGTCACTGGAATAATGAAAAGGGGAGGCATAACTGTTATTACATACACAGCAAATATATGCTAGCATAGACATGCCCAACTCAAAAAACTTGCTCTGTGGTGATCAATACTGTATTCACATACTGAGGGCAATTTAATTTCAACAACATAATGTTATCTATCATATTAAATTGATACTGTTATTTATTCATTTTTAGTTTTGTATCAAATTTATAGTGTTAGTAAGAGCCATAACCATCAAAAGTTTTTACATGGTTTTATTTTATACATATTTAAGAAACTGTATAACAAAAATAATTCACATCAGCTATGAGGGCACCAAAAAATTATTTTCCTTTGAAAGAGGTCCACATATTATTCTAGGAAAGTGATATTGGTTTAGTTGTCTCTGTTTATTAGGTACCTCTGAGGCCTTTAGCTTTTGGCCCAGAGACACTGGCCATAGAAATGATGACGATAGTAAATGAAGTTACTTGGCAATTAATTGTCTTATTCTCAAAACTATTATGTAAACTGCAATAGTTGCTATTGAACAGGTCAGGGTTTAGTGGGTGGATAACCCCTCGGGTACTTTTGTACAGTGCGTGATGACACATGCCAAGTATGAACCAGGGAAATATGATTTTCTGTGCTCTATTTTTATTGGTAAAATAAATTCCTTTGTCAGGGATAGGCAGAAGCCAATAGGAAATTTCAAGAGATGGGTAAATTATTAAAAGCTTCTTAAGTTATTTTTAGATCAAATAGCTTTCTTAAATTTTTTCTTAGAAATATTAAGATTTCTGTAGTGGTGATTGGGGCAAAATGGTGTATTATGAAGGATACGGTTTCTGGAGTCAGAAGCTTTACCACTTATTAATAACATGTAAACAAATTTTGGCAAGTCAGCCCTTCCGAACCTGTTTCCTCTCCTGGCAAATAGAAATAATAATAATGCAGACCCTACCCATTGCACAACACAGGATAGGATGAAAATGCTTTATAAGCTATATACGTTTTAAATTGCTTTTATAAAATTGAGTTGCCTTACCTGTTTTGAAATGGTCCCTTGTAATTTTATAAGAATCTAAGAATCTTAAACTCCTGGCAAGCTGTGAAGAATCTCTTTATTGGAACTGCGAATTTCTAAAAGTTTGTATTAATATATTGCCCAGCATGTATGAAAACTAGGTTGTGGTAAAATAATTAGAGCATCACTGAGCAGTGTCTGGGCTATACTGTTAAACTTAATCCTAAAAGTGATCAAAATTTAACAGTTGCTAGAAGGAAACTTTCTTTTCACTAGATATCCTTTTGGACTGTGTATTATAGACATGTATTGCCTATTCAAACTATGTCTTTGGAGGAGCTCAAAGATATGACCATGGGTTGCTAAGACATGTCCTGATAGCAGCAGGATGAAACTGAGCTATGTAACTTGGATAGAATTTCCCTGGAAAGCTAGGCTAGTGGCTTGACTGGAATTGTAAAACTCCTGGGGAGACAGGTGAGGTCACCCCTTTGCAAGAACATTAATAACATCATCATATCTCCACTTTCAGTGGGAAAGGGGAACCTGTGACTGAACTCAGCTGGCACTCCTGTCGGCAGCTCCTTTACCAGGCAGTGGCCACAATCCTGGCCCACGCAGGCTTTGACTGTGCTAATGAAAGTGTCCTGGAGACCCTAACTGATGTGGCACATGAGTATTGCCTTAAGTTTACCAAGTTGTTGCGTTTTGCTGTGGACCGGGAGGCCCGGCTGGGACAGACTCCTTTTCCAGATGTGATGGAGCAGGTATTCCATGAAGTGGGTATCGGCAGTGTGCTCTCCCTCCAGAAGTTCTGGCAGCACCGCATCAAGGACTATCACAGTTACATGCTACAGGTGAGGCGACCCTGTTGAAAAGTGGGCACAGATGTCTGTGCAATCTAGGAGTGTTCAGCAGGATCCCACAACACTTGGTCTAGAGTGCAGAGCACAGAGTCTTGGAACCGAGTGAACTTAACATACTTTTATGATGGCCCTAGCGATGTTCCTGGCCAAATGGGTCTCCTTTAGTCAATGAATGGCCACATTCACAGATACTTCCTCTGGAAGAAACTATCCACAAATATATGGAATCTGAGAGAATGCAGGTAGTCTGACTTTATTCATCAAGTATTTATTGAGTGCCTGTTGAGAGTCAAGCATTGTGGGATTCAGCAGTTACTAAGTTACCTGAGCGTACATTGTTTTTGAAGGGAAACAAACACAAGTCAACAAAAAATGATCAAAACAATTTCAGGAGCTGGGCATGATGGCACATGCCTGTAATCCCAGCTACTTGGGAAGCTGAGGTGGGAGGATTGCTTGAGGCCAGGAGTTCAAGACCAGCCTGGACAATATAGTGAGACCCCCATCTCTATAGAAAATTTAAAAATAAAAATTAGCTGGACATGGTGGCTCATGCCTGTGGTCTCAGCTACGCGGGAGTGTGAGGTGAGATCACTTGAGACCAGGAAGTTAAGGCTGCTGCGAGCCATGATTGTGCCATTGCACTCCAACCTGGGTGACAGAGCAAGACCCTGTCTGAAAAAAAAAAAAAGAAAACATAGATCTCCTACTGGCAATCCTCCCGCCTCAGCCTCCCAAGCAGCTAATATAATGGTTTGACTAGAATTGTAATATATATCTCTAATATAGCTGCTTGGGAGGCTGAGGTGGGAGGATTGTTTGAGGCCAGAAGTTTAAGGCCAGCCTGGGCAATATAGCAAGACTTAGCTGTCTCTAAGCACATACTTACAAAAATACAATTTTGTATAATGTTAAGTGCCATAAAAAAAAGTAAAATGATATTGCCTGGAGGATGGGTTGGTGAGGGGTGATTTTGGTTGGAACCAGCTAACCTCTTCAGCCCTTGTGCTCTTAAGTCATTTGTTCACTGTTTCAGTCTCTGCAGGTCTAAAATATTTAACACCCAAGAAAAGTCTTTGCTAAGTGATCCAGATTTCCCACACCATTGATTATTCACCTAGGATACATATGTCAATTTGTTTTTCCTTTTTTTAGACAGGGTTGCCTGGGCTGGAGTGCAGTGGCACAATCACAGCTCACTACAGCCTTAACCTGCTAGGCTCAAGTGATCGTTCCACCTCAGCCTCCCAAGTAGCTAAGACCACAGATGTGAACCACCATGCCCAGCTCTTTTTTTTTTTTGTAGAGATAGGATCTCACTAGATGTTGCCCAAGCTGGTCTCAGACTCCTAGGCTCAAGTGGTCCTTCCGCCTTGGCCTCCCAAAGTACCGGGATGACAGGTGTGAATGACTGTGCCCAGCCTCCTGTTAATTTTTATACCCAAAAAAAAATGTAATCTTTTGTCCCAGTTCTGTTTTAACACTTTTTTTTTACCTTTATG